AAGTGAGTCGAGCCACGCGGGCGATGCCGCTCCAGCCTCGCAAATAGCGGTTACGAGTGGTAGCAGAGATGAGCGGCGAAGATTGGCGCGGATGCAGCCTGTGGCAATGAGTAGCGGCGAGAAGACGTGCAGAGACCGTTCGCAATGCGATAGCCAGTATATGAGGCCAAAAAAATCGCAATCTTATCTGATGAAGGCTTTGCCGAGCGGTCAAAGGCGACAGACTCAAGTCCTGTTTCGAAAGATTCGCGGGTTCGAATCCCGTAGCCTTCAACGATTTTTTTTGCTTGCCTGGCCACCCTCCATCGCGTTCATCCTCCCAGGGCGCTCTTCACCATCTCTGCAACAACCTGCTCTTGCAGTTTAATTACACATGTGGACGTGTTGTGCGTGTTGGGCGGCGCGATGGTGTGTCGACGGCCGGCGAGGAAGCACTGGCGCCGCCGTTGCCGTCGCCATCGCTGTCGCCGTCGCCGTCGCCGGACTCGTCGTCGGTGCGGCCCTCAACAACGGCAAGGAAGGACTTGAGCGAGGCGGCGCACTCCTCGTCATCGTCGCCGAGCAAGAGACGGAGACGCGGGCCGATAGCGTACAACAGGCTCTCGCCGTCCTTAGACTTGGCCAGGTAGTGCTGGGCGACGAGTGGAGCAATCATGGTTTCGCAGATGGATTTCCAGTCTCTCCTGCCCATGAGGGCAAAGTTCTTCTGCAGCTCGTTCTCGTGCATGGTGTCGCGCGGCGAGAGATGGATGAACATGGCGGCGAGCGCAAGGTAGCCGCCGATCTTGCCACGGAGGACGTAGTCACGCACGATGCCGTGTGTGACTGCAGGCGGGAAACTGTTGACCAGAAAGTACCGCTTATTACTGCGCTCGTCGCAGGTCTGGACCTTGAACCCGAACAAGTGGTTGACCTTGGCGGCGGCCATGTTGAAGACCACGGAGGTGTAGCCCTTGTTGAGCCTGCGGTTCTCGGCAAAGATGCGCTTCTTCATGTTGGTCTTGGTGATCGATGAGTTGGGTAAGTTGAGCATCCATTGGACCGCCTTGGCCACGTCCTCGTTGAGCGTCAGCTCGTCGACGTTCTCCATGGCGGCCGCCTCCCTGGCCGGCGTCATCTGCGAAAACTGCGTCATCATCGTCGACTGGGTAGCCCGCATCTGTGTTTCGCCCGCATCGTCGCTCGACTCGCCTTCGTCCTTGTCACTCTCCACCACCCGCCGCTGGTGCGAGCCCATGCCCACAACCCCGTGCGCTGTGCTTGCCCGCGACGACATCGACCCGACCGGCGCGTCGTCCGACTCGAGCTGAAGCTCGCTGCGCAAGTGCCTGCTTCTCTTTGGTGGTGACTGTGACGGCAAGATGTGTATGAGTATGTGTAAGTATGCAAGAGAGAGAGAGAAAGAGAGAGAGTGTGTGTGAGAGAGTGTGTGTGGATGTACTGAGCATGTGTGTGTTGTGTGCCCTTGTCTGGCTTCGTTTCTACTTACCGCGTCGTCATCACCATCCATGGACGTACTCCGTTCCCGCTTCCTTGACGACTGCACGACCCAACCCAAGAGACTAGTGAGTACATGCACATCTTTCCTCTCCCAAAGCCGCTCCTCTCGTCACCCTCACCATCACAGCTGGGCGTACCATGACCGACCGTATGTCGCGGTCGAAAGTCAGGTCGTGGTTTGCGACTCGTCGGCCGGGCCGGGCTGCATCTCGCACTGCCTGCCGCCAACCGTCAGCCGGCGCGGCAGACTGATTCGGTTGGTTGGGCCGATTCGGTCGAGTCGAGTTTGGAATTAGGCGTGTCACTGTCATCGATTGATTGATTGTAGCAAACGAGGCAACAGATCTCTCGACAAACACAATGGTACGATGGAGGGCTTGAAGGTGGCAATGGCGGGTAGCAGCAAAGGCACAGCCTAGGTGGAGCGAGAGCACGGCAGGCATGGTTGCCCTTGTGGCATGTGCAAGCCTGTTTCCGTCCCGAGGCTAGCTGCTGGCGTGTGCTTGAGGGCGGGGAGGTGGTGGGCGAGCCGGCGGCGATTGGCTATTTTGCGCATCTTTGTCCGGCAGCGGCGGCGCACATCTGGAGTCGTGGGCGGTGGGCACAGGTAGCTGCGACAACGAAAGGCAGCTACCACCCTGCCTGCGTTGCGTGCGCATCGCTTGTGTGTGTGGTGGCCGTGGCCTGTGCTATGGCGCGGTGTGAGAGGCGCCAGACGGGGAGCATTTTCTGTCTGTTTTTGTATGAATCCATCGGCATCGGCGGCGGCAGTCTGGGGGGGGGGGAGGAAAGGATGAAGAGCAGGCGCCTTGCCCTGGGAGAGGCGGCATGACTTACCAGCACACAACGGGGGGCATGGGTATAGGTGCGTGCTAAGCAGGAGAAGAAGGACCGCGCTCCCGATGAGTGCCAGTGGGAGGCCACTGTCAACCTCCGCAAGGCCACCTACAAGATTGCCAACAAGCGCAAGGCACCGAAGGCCATCAAGGCCATCCGTGAGTTTGCCCGCAAGATGACCGGCACCCCGGACATCCGCATTGAGGACTCGCTTAACAAGTTCGTCTGGTCCAAGGGTATCCGTGCCCCGCCTGGCCGCGTCCGCATCCTCCTCACCCGCCAGCGCAACAACGACGACGAGGCCGAGCACAAGCTCTACACCCTCGTTTCCCACCTCGAGGTTGCCTCGTTCAAGGGCCGCAAGCCGCACCGCATTGAGCAGATGTAAAGAAGCCTAAGCAGCGGACGTGGTCGCTTCCTTTCCCGTCCCTCCCTCCCTCTCCGCTCGGTTGAGCTCGTCAGTTCGTCGGCGACCGAAATGTAGCTCTTGCCCTCTCCCCCCTCTCCTCCCTGCCCCCTCCCCTCCTCCGCCACCCCATTCTCGCTCGTTTCCCTCCCTCCACCCCAGCTATGCTATGCTGTAGTTATCCTCTATCTTTCCCTCTCGCATAGCGATAGCGTTCTCTTGCCCGCCATCGGCGTCATCGAAGCCATCAATTGACTGGTGAGTCTGGCCAATTCCTCGACGGCTTCGACCGAGCTGCGGTTGTCGCCGGCAGCTGTTCCACGCCACCCCCTTCTCTTTTACTCTCTCCATGTCGGACACCAAGATCACGCTCCCGTCGACGTCGGGCAAGGATGTCCGGGAGACGTTCATCAAGTTCTTCACCTCCAAGTATGGCCACACCTTTGTGCCGTCGTCTTCGGTATGTCCTCCCGTCCTCCCTCCCCCCGTCCCCCGTCCCCCCCTTCCCCACCTTTGGTCCCCCCCCCCCCCCCCTCCCCCCAACAGGTCGTCCCGCTCAACGACCCGACGCTCCTGTTCACCAACGCCGGCATGAACCAGTTCAAGCCCATTTTTGTGGGCCGTGCTGACCCGCTCTCTGCGATGGCGCAGCTGAAGAGCGCGGCCAACTCGCAAAAGTGCATCCGTGCCGGTGGCAAGCACAACGATCTCGAGGATGTGGGCAAGGATGTGTATCACCACACGTTTTTCGAGATGCTCGGCAACTGGTCGTTTGGCGACTACTTCAAGTCCGAGGCCATCGACATGGCGTGGGAGCTGCTGACGTCTGTGTTCGGAATCGAGGCGGACCGGCTGTACGCGACGTACTTTGGCGGCGACGAGGAGGCCGGGCTGGAACCTGACCTCGAGGCGCGCGACATTTGGCTCCGGTACCTTCCGGAGGACCACGTGCTCCCGGGCAACATGAAGGACAACTTTTGGGAGATGGGCGAGACCGGGCCGTGCGGGCCGTGCTCCGAGCTGCACTACGACCGGATTGGCGGGCGCAACGCGGCGCACCTTGTCAACATGGATGTGCCGGAGGTGCTCGAGATCTGGAACCTTGTGTTCATGCAGTACGAGCGGACGACCGACGGGCTTGTGACGCTGCCGAACCAGCACGTGGACACTGGCGCCGGTCTCGAGCGCATTGTCTCTGTCCTGCAGAACAAGATGTCCAACTACGACACCGATCTGTTCACGCCGATCTTTGACGCGATCCGCGAGGTTACTGGCGCGCGCGAGTACACCGGACTCGTGGGCGACGAGGACGTGGACAAGATCGACATGGCGTACCGTGTTGTGGCGGACCACGTGCGGATGCTAACGTTCTCGATTGCCGACGGCGGACTGCCGTCGAACAACGGGCGCGGGTACGTGGTGCGGCGTGTGCTCCGGCGGGCGATCCGGTATGTTTCGGAGAAGCTCGGCGGCTCGCTCGGCTCGCTCCACGAGCTTGTGGACGTGGTCATTGCCAACTTTGGCGAGGCCTTCCCGGAGATTGCGGCCAAGCGCGACCTGGTGGTGGAGGTCATCACTGCCGAGGAGGTCAAGTTTGGGCGGACGCTCGACCGCGGCGTGCAGCTGTTCAAGAAGTTTGCCGAGGCGTCGACCGACGGCAAGCTCGCGGGCAAGGTTGTCTTCCAGCTGTACGACACGTACGGGTTCCCGACCGACCTCACCGAGCTCATGGCTGAGGAGCGTGGCCTGACCATCGACTGGGAGCGGTACGAGGCCGAGCGGCTGGCGGCTGTGGAGCGGTCGCGGTCGGCCAAGTCGGCGACGGGCATTGTGCTCGAGACGCAGGCTGTCGACGGGTTCACCTCGCGCGGCTCGACCGACGACTCGGCTAAGTTTGACGACGACTGCGACGAGCACGCGACTGAGGTTGTGGGCGTGTACAACTACGACGAGCGGACGTTTGTCGAGGCTGTGGCCGCCGGCACGGCGGCCGGCACCGTTTTTGGCATCATGACCACGACGACCAACTTTTACGCCGAGGGTGGCGGCCAGATCTACGACTCGGGCACGCTCGCGGTGGGCGCGACCGCCGACGACGCCGTCCCGGTGCTCTCGATCTTCAACTGCCAGGCGTACGCCGGCGCGGTCGTCCACTTTGGCCGCCTGGTCGAGGGCGCACCGGCCGACGCGCTCACTGCCGGCGCCGAGGTGTGGCTTCTCCGCGACGCCGCGCGCCGGTCGCCCATCCGCGCGAACCACACGGCGACGCATCTGCTGAACCACGCGCTGCGCGCGGTGCTCGGCGACCACGTCGGCCAGCGCGGCTCGCTCGTCGACGAGGACAAGCTCCGCTTTGACTTTTCGCACAACTCGCGGATCGAGGTGGCACAGGTCACCGCCATCGAGGACCACGTCCGCAAGATCATTGTCGGCAAGCTCCCGGTCTACGCGAAGGTTGTCCCGCTCGAGGACGCGACCAACATCAACGGCCTCCAGCAGGTGTTTGGCGAGACGTACCCGTCTGAAGTCCGCGTTGTCTCGGTCGGCGTCGCCGTCGACGAGCTGCTTGCCAACCCCGATTCTGACCAGTGGCCAGCGTACGCCATCGAGCTCTGCGGCGGCACACACCTCTCCAACTCGGGCGAGGCCGAGGCCTTTGCCGTCCTCTCGGAGGAGTCGGTTGGCGGCGGAACTCGCCGCATGGTGGCTGTCACCGGCGATGCCGCCCGCGAGGCCATCGGCCTTGCCGCCCACTGGCGCAACGAGGTCACCGCCCTCACCGCCCTCCCCGACGAGCAGCTCGTCGGCGCCCTGCCGCCGGTCAAGACCTCGGTGACGACCGCCAAGCTCGCTGTCGGCGACAAGGCCGCCCTCTTGGCCACCATCGACGAGCTTGTCTCCCGTGTTGTCGCCTTCCGCAAGGCCAAGGCCCAGGTTCTCGTCGATGCGGCCATCGAGTCGGCCGCCGCGCTCGCCGCCGACTCGCCCGACCTCGCCGAGGGCGGCGTTGTTGTCCAGGTCCTCGACCTCGGCGACGTCAAGAAGGGCCTCGCTAAGGTTATGAAGGCCTACGCCTCGGCTCTTCCCAAGGCCTCGGTCGTCATCATCAACGCCGGCGCAACCGGCAAGGTTGAGTACATGGCCACCACGCCCAAGGGCGCGGCCGTCACCGCCAAGGCTGTCGTCGCTGCCATCAACGATGCCGCCGGCGGTCGCGGTGGCGGCAAGCCGACGTCGGCCCAGGGCTCGGCCCCGTCGCCTGCCGACGCCCCGGTCGACATCGACGCCGTTGTCGCTGCCGCCAACGCCGCTCTCTCGGCCTAACCTTATCCTCCTCCCTCTCCCACCACACACACCCGTAGCAGCGTGCGATCAAAGCCGAAACCCACTTTTGCCTCATTCTTTTACGCCGCTGCTACAAGTCCTTGGGCTCACCGCGCGGAACTGCGGCGCGGACAATGATGTGGACTTGGATGGCAAAAGCAATGAGCGTGTTGGCAAACTCAAGCCAGTGCGAGTCGGCAACGAGCTGGGAGGCGAGCATGGTTTTGGCTCTCTTGATGAGCTCGGACGCGAGATGGAGAAGCGAGGCTGCTGCTGCCGACGCACCGCCGCCGCTTGTGCGGGATCCCGCGGCTGGCACCTCGCCGCGATTCTCGGGAGTGGTGGCGGTGGCTAAGATCTCGGGCGGCACCACTGATTTGATGGCCTTCATCGTCCGGACCAGCGCTGCGAGCGAGGCGACAAGTGCGTTGCAATCACGGCCGGCGACGACTGCTAGCAACCGGCCGAGTTCAGCGTTAAAGGTGGCGAGCAGCGGCGCAAGCTGCGCGGCCAGTTCGTCAACCAGCGTGTCGTCAGCATCGGTAGTCGCCACCGCTGCGCCGCCGGCCACCACCGCTGCGCCGCCGGCCACCAGCTCGGCCGTCGACAGAGACCGCGTCATTCGGGTCCTCGTCGGCGATGATGGCGGCGAGAGCGTGTAACGGTCTGCGTCTGGCGGCGGCGGTGCCGGAGTAGCCGGCGTAGTCTTGGCTGGCGGTGCGGTTTCGGCCGGCGGTGCAGTCTCGGCTGGCGGCGCAGCCTCGACCGGCGGTGCAGTCTCGGCTGGCGGCGCGGCCTCGACCAGCGGTGCAGTCTCGGCCGGCGGCTCACTGGTGGTGATCGCCGGCGGGGTGGGTGTGACAGGCACAGCCGCGTTGGATGCTGCAATGATGTCAGCCAGGCCATCGCCAAAGCCGTCACCAAAGCCGTCACCAAAGCCGTTGCCGCTGTCATTAGCGGCGGGAGGTGCTGCTGCGGCGGCTGAGCTCGCAGACTCGCCGGCCGTATCCGAGGCGGCCGCGCCCGAGATCTGCGGTGGGAGGCCTGTTGGAAGGCCTACGTACGCGCCTGTAGTGGTGCCCACGGCACTGTCGTCGTCGCACGACGAGGCAATCGACGAGAACGAGGCGGCCGATGCCGGCGAGTGGAGGTCGGTCCGATGGGGGAGGACCGGCGTCGACAGCAGGGTGGTGTCAGCGTCCGAGGCCACAGCGGCGTCGGAGAGGACCTTGAGCCAGTCGTCACGCTCGGCTGGATTCGAAGCCAGAAACCAGTGCGACTCGCCCGTAGATGAGTGGCCGTTGTAGACGAGCGCAAGCCCGCAGCCTGCGTCCTTTTTTGGAGCCGAGATCATTCTCAGCCACGGGCGTGTAATCGGTGAGGAGCAAGACCCCCTCGGGCCTCTTGGCAGTCACCTTTTTGTACCATGTTACCTCGTGCCCGACAACAACCACATATCGCTTTTTCCACCCCTTTTTCTTCGAGTTGGACTTTTGGAGCACGCCGGTTTTTTGCTACTCCGCACCGTGCATGAGCAACCGACATCCGCAGGACACCCCGTCCCCCCCCCCCCCCACACACACGCCGGTCATGTAACAAAACACACGTGTTGTTGGTTTGTTGTGAGTCATGCGCCCTCCATGGCCATCCGGCTCGTCGCCCAGCCGCTCAAGTCTCCCCGTACCGTCATGGTGGGACCACCGGACCACAAGCAAGGTGCTGTATGTATAAGAGGGTACGAGTGTATGTGTGTATATGCGTGTGCGTGTGTGTGTGTGTGTGTGTGTGTGTGTGTGTGTGTGTGTGTGTGTGGGAAAGGGAGGAGGGGAGTGGGAGTGGAGAGGAGTTGCGGGTGCCCGAGTGGAGTGGTACGTGAGAGCAAGGGGGGGAGGGGGGAGGCGAGCGGCCCAACACCGGGTAGTTTCGCAGTGAAAGGACAGACTCGGGGCGTGTGAGCGGCGTGTGTGTTACATAACGATGCGTGCGTACGAGGCCGTGATGGCGCCAGAATCGTTGAGGGTGGCAAAGTCTGCCGAGCCGAGAGAGGCGACGATGGTGGCAACGTCGGCCATGGTGGGACGATCGGCCGGCTCGACGGCCCAGCACGACGAAATGAGGGTGCGGAGGCGCTCCGAGGGGATACGGGAGGTAGCCAGCGATGAGGTGACGCCAGCAGAGATGCGGGTGGCAATCTCGAGCGGGTCGGAGCCCATGAACGGCGACGAGCCGACGAGGAGCTCAAAGAGGATGGAGCCGATGATAAAGACATCCGAGGCGGCGGTAGGCGTCTCGCCGCGCAGCTGCTCGGGCGACATGTAGCCGACGGACGGAATGGTCCGATGGATGCCGAAGATGTCCACCAAGTCAGAAAGTCCAAAGTCGATGATGTGGGTGTCGACGACGTAGCCGGCCGTGGCCACCAGCATGACGTTGGACGGCGACAGCGCACCGTGGGCCTTGCAAGCGTCCGGAAAGTTGGCCAAAGCAGTCGAGAGCCGAGTCATCGACGTCAGCAAGCCGCGCGCAATGACATGAAGCGTCTGCGGGTGGCGCGGGTGTAGGATCGGGGTCTCGTTGGCCAGCAAGTCTGCCAGCGAGCCGGCTGGATAGCGTGGGAAGACCATGGCAACCCGCGGCGGGTCGAGGCAGATGGCGAGCGGGCCGGCGAGGCGCCGTGACGTGTCGGTGCACGCTGCAGCCGTGGCAAGTGCCGTTGCGAGAGTAATCTGCTCACTGTCGGTGAACTGCTGCTTTGCAAGCACCTTGACCACAACCGGGACCGAGCCGTTGGCCTCGTCGGCAAAGACGCACGGGTGCGAAGTGCCAAACGCGGAACACCACGATATGTCGTCCTCACCCTGAGTACGGAGCAGAGCGTCCACGTCGATCCTGCTGAGTCGCCATGGCAGACTCGACGGTGCCAGCCCGACGGACGACTGTGCCGGCAAAATCGGAATGGTCGGTAGTGTTCCCGCGAGCTCGCTTGTCCGCGAAGCCGATCGCTCATCTACCACTTCGTTCTGCGAGGAGAGCGAGAGAGCGCTCGACGATCCACCGGCTTCGCCCGAGTCCGAGTGGCCGGACCGGGTAGGCGCGAGAAGAATGAGGTGGCCCGAGAATGACGACGCAAGCGGCGCGCGTGAGACTGAGGATTCGTTGACCGACGTGCTGTTGCTGAACGGGTCATCCGGTCCCAAGCCGAAGGCAGGCGTGGCGGCGGTGGCGGGCGTGAACGGCGTAGAATGGTCTGAGGACGATGGCGACGGTGATGACGATGACAACGGCGGGGAAGACGGCGCGAAAGACGGCGGCGCATTGCTTGCTGCACTTGTGGCAGACAGGTCAAGCGCCGCTGGCGATGCCGCAGGCTGCTGCAAGAGGCACATTGATGACGAGGCCGGAGCAAGCGAGTACGGCGGCGACGACGACATACGCATATGCGCCGACAATGTCGTTGTTGACGACGTCGAGATCTCGATTGCGGTCTCCACGCTCTCTGCGGACGTTGACGACGATCGCCGGAGACGCGACGTCTGGATCTGGCGAATGCGTGGGCTGCTCCCGGCGACGGCCATCGGCTCCGAGTCGACGCGGGTCAAGGCAGCGCCGAGCAGGAGCGACGGGTGCGTGGCTCCAGAGATAGACGGCTCTGGTGACGGCCGAGTTCGGCGACGGCGGCGGCGGCGGATGGTCCTGCGTCCAGACATGCGCTTCTTCTTACGCGACCGCGTTCGAGGCCGCGAGCACACGCGACGCTGCCTCGCCTTGGCCTTGCGCTTCGACTTGGTCCGCGACTTGGACGTTGCTCGTGACCGCGACTTTGACGCCGCTTGCGACTTGGCCTTGGGTCTGAACTTGGCCTTGGACCCAGAGTTTTTTCTGGACTTGGGCTTTGCCCGGGACTTGGATTTTCGGCCGCTGGGCTCTGCAGAGACTTTGCGGCGAGGCCGGGTAGAGCTCGTCGGAAGAGAGATCTTGGTCTCACTGCGGCCGCGGAGGAGGACGTGCGGTTTGGCCAGAGTGTGTGGCGATGACGGGGCGACAATCAGAGAGCGCGAGGCTGAGGACGGGCGCTCTGAAGACGACCCATCGTGACGTGCGTCACAATCTCGTGCGTTGGCACCGGCTGCCCTGAGTGTAAGGGCAATGGCTGGCATAGTGCCGCCGTAAACAGAAGCTGAGTTGTTTGGCGAGTCCAGTGAGCCTGAGCCGTCAAAGTTGCCTGCTGAGAAGCGACCAAGGGAGTGGTCGAGAGCGAGAATAGACCGATCAAGGGCAGCCTTGGCTGAGCCAAGCATATCGGAGCGCCGGCTGGGAGAGGGCGAGGCAAGGCGCGAGGGCGAGCGCGCGCGGGCGTCGAGATCAACCTTGACGGCTGAGCCGACGGCCGACGGCAGGAGCGTGGCGCCGATGTTGAGTGGGACGGTGCAGACATCCATGGGGAGCTCGGGTGAGATAGTGTTGTCGACAAACAGGCCATGTGCACGCTCAAGGGCGAGGGCACCTGAGCCGCACGCTTCAACATGGCCCGCGGCGGCGGCAAGGTTTGGGCAGAGGTCACCAAAAAGAGCCCGCCATAGCAGAGCAAGCACGTCGATGACGGGCCCGGTGGCAAGGGGAAGGCCCCAGGCATCGACCCGGTGTGCGAGCCGACCAAACGAGGCCAGAAGCACAACGGGGATGGATCGCGGGAGCCCAGCAACGAGGCGCCGGGCTAGGTCGACGAGGACATCCACCGAACGGACAGTGAGCGTGATGCAGCCTAGTGAGGCTGAGAGGACGTAAACTTGCGGTACCGAAGCGGCAAAGTCGGAGAAAAGTCAACAAACAAGCGGAGGACGCCTGCAGCCTGGGAGGGAGACTTGCGCAAGGCATCGGTCGCGTGTAGGACGGCGGCATGGACAACAATAAAGTTGCCCACGGGCCGAGGCTGTGGCGAGGGACGAATCACAACGCCCGGTGTGTAGAGCGTGGCTAGGCGAGCGCACGCGTCATCAAGCGAGAGCCGATCGGCCGGCGCACCAGTCCACAAGTCCTCGGCAACCGAGCCGAGCGGGGCCAGAGACGGCGGGATGGTGTAAAGTGGCGGCCGCCGGGCCGAGTGGACAACGGAGAGGACCGTGGCAAGTGGGTTCCGACCCAGAAAGAGCTCTGAGCGGGTGGCAAGCTCCCACAGGGTCATGCCGAGCGCGTACGCATCCGATGCGACAGAGAGAGCGGCGGGCCCAATGGTGAGGATCTCAGGCGCCTTCCAGAACACAGCACCAACCTCGCACAGCACGCGGGCCTTGGCAGATGCACCTACGATTGCCGAGTCTGCAGTTCCCACGACCGGACTATCCCCTGTTGCGTCCGATGCCTCATTGGGAACAGACGACATCATGGTGAGCGAGCGGGCTTGCGAGACAGGCGAAAAGTCAAAAGCAATGCTCGACTCAGAGACGTCAAACTCCTTGCGGAGCGACGAGGCAAATATCGAGCTGCCAAACTCTGCCCGGGCCGGCGCACGTGGGCGCGAGACATATGCATCCGAGAGCACGGGCATCGGGCGGATGATTGGGCAGAGGCCAAAGTCGGCAACACGGACTGACCACGACTCAGTGATGAGGGCGTTGCGTGACTTGAAGTTGCCGTGGACAAAGCCCGAGTCGGAGAGGAACTTGAGGCCCAGTGCCATTTGGTGGGCCCACTCACAGACAATGGTGGGATGGAGAATGAGCGACGAGTCGTGCAGAACGTCGTGGACCGAGCCGCGAGCCAGCCGTGGCATGATGAGCGACGGCGGCGAGGCGACAAAGCCAAGGAGCGGAACAATGGTCGGTGAGGTGAGGCTGGCAAGCTTGGTGCACCGCTGTGAGAACTGATCGCTCATGGCGGGCGTAACCAAACCGACACGCAGGTGCTTGCAGACCACAGCCTCACCTCGAAACGATGCCGAGTAGACGGTGCCAAGGGTGCCCTTGTCGAGCGCGGCAGTGATGTTGATCTCAGTTGGGTCGAGCGCAATCGGCGACGCCGGCGAGACGCGGGCAAAGTGGCAAAGCTTGACCGCGATGACGACCAGCAGCGTACAGCAACACAGAGCCGAGACGGCGCTCGAGGCGGCGAGCAGGGCGGTCTTGCCCGACGAGGTCGACGCGGCGCTGGGAGAGCTGGGAGGGTCGACGAGTACGTACAAAGCCCTGAGCGTCGGCGACGTGACTTGCGCTGGACCACCTACTGCAGTTGCATAGAGTGTGTAGGTACCAGCGGCCGAGAGCACAACTGGCTGGCGGTAAGGAGCGAGAGGGGTGGACGCGCCATTGACGGTCGACTCGAGCGAGAAGCGGATCGACGAGTCAGGAGCATAGCACTCGAGCGAGACCGAGATCGGACCGATGTACGAGCCCGGGCTGGGCGTCGCAATGGGCGTAACCGTAACGCCGTCGACAAACGCGACGCGGAGACCTTCGAGGCGGGGAAGGGCCGAGTCAATGATGACGGTTGCGTTGGGTGCCGACGCAGCGAGCATGAGATGCGTCACCATCGTCCGCCACGCTGTCAGCAGTGGCCTGTACGGGAATGAAGCGATCGACGACCTGCTGTGGAGCGACGGCGAGTTCGCGATCAGCAAGGTTGCAGAAACGGTTGACGGAGTGGTGAGCATGGATGCGAGTGAGGTGTAAGGCGGGACCAAGTGAGGGGCGGCGGCGATGGACGGCCCGATGGTGGACGCCGGTGCAAAGGCGGTAGCGAGCACAGTTTTGGTGAGGTCGACGTTCGCGGAGTGGGACGGTATGCCGACAGCGGCAACAAGGCCCAAAGTGGCATATGTGGACGTCGACGACGGCGGCAATGTTGCCGACGGCGGGCCATCGTAGCGCGGAAAGGCAAAGGTACGGAGGTCGCTCGGGTCGAGGCCAAAGGCCTGGAAGGCGATGGCCCACTCCTCAAAGGTGCAGATGATGCCGAGCGAGCCGGCGGCAAACTCGCTGTTCGAGGTAAGGACATTTCCGGGCGCAGCTCGGGAGAGGTAACCTGGTGCAATGATGTCGTCCACAAACCGTGCAAGGGTTTCGTGGAGGCGGTCATCCGTAAACGACAGGTTGCCGACGGCAAATTCATCATACAACTCTCCTCCATGCATGCGGAGAAAGAGATAGTCCAGGTACTGCGACGGTGCCAGTGAGGCGTAGTCTGTGCCTAAGCAGCCGATGCCTGCCCGAGTCAGGATCCTGCACACCGTCAGCAGCTGGCTCCAAGTCTCAGGCGGAGCGAGGCTGTGGGTGTCAAAGACCGAGGCACGGTAGTGGCAGACTTCGGGGAAAGAGGCGATGGGGACGGCACGTGGAACACCGGACGAGTCGGAGCAGAACCGCACGGCTGGTGGTACCATGTCGGCAGCCAGGTTTTGGGCGCCCCACAACGAGGAGAGGTTGACCAAGAGGGCGTCGTCGAGTAGGCCGCGCATGCCTTGCGAGGGGTGAAGCACAACCAGGTCATGTGGTGAGGGCTGAAGAGCGATGTCGACGTACTCGGACAACACCGAGTTAAACGGCGACGAGGTGACGAGAATGGATGTGGAGAGGTTGTGTGTGGCAGCGTGAGCGTTGTAGCCGGCCACAAGAGAGTCGAGCGCAGTCCCCAAGCCCATGTCGGTCCGCATGGTGTAGAGGGTTAGGGTGTTGGCCTGCGCCCAACAGACCAAGACGGCAAGACAGGCAACAAGAGCGTGCCCACGTAGGCCACGCAAGCTGACCATGGCCGCTAGGATTTGTGCAACGATTGACCGCGGACGGAAGTCCAGAGAGGAATGAGTGTGTGGGTATGTGAGTGTGTGTGTGTGACCGTGTTGGGATGCTTAGGGCGTGGGTAAGTGGTGGCGGAGACGGGGCTTGAGCAACTTACGGAACACAGCCAATTCGGTTGGCGCCTGTGTCACGGCAGCGCTGCTGAAGCCACACCGGAGTGTTTTGTCCAAGAGGGGAGAAATAGTGCGCAGGACGACTAGCGGCGGGAACACACGTCGAGTGGTAGGGTGCAGGACGGGATGTGGGGGTGGGCCACAGGCAGTCACTAGCCTTTGTGGAGTGGGCGTGTGGTGAGAACTATGCGGGGGTTGGTGCGCGTGCGCAGACTGCGGAGCATGGTACGGTGCGGAGTTTTTTGCACATGGGTCAAACAATCGTCACGCTTGTCAACTCGCGCGCGTGCTCGCTGACGCATGCGCAAGATGAACTCGGACAAGCTTGCTGTCGAGATTGGAGCCCTAACGCAACAAGGATGGAGCCCCGGATTAGGCGAGTACGTTTCATATGAGGCGGCGGGCGGCGGTCAAAGCAGCGAGCACATGGCCAGGGCGGCAGCGAGCAAGGGTGAGGGAGGATGAATCGAGGCCATAACACGCGGATCAGCGGCCAGCATGTCTTCGATGGAGAGGTGACCGAAGGCGTGGGCGAGGGTGAGCGCTTCGTTGTTGTTTGCTGACGCATCGATGCGGCGGTCAGCAAGGAGCGCGGCGACGGTGGCGATATGGTCACCGCGAACGGCAAGAGCGAGGGCTTGTGCGGCGAGCTCGGCGAGCTCTAGCTCGGGCTGGAGAAGCAGGAGGCGAACCACGGCGACGTGGCCTGCGGAACAGGCATCAACAAATGCATGGCTCAATGTCAGGCGTGTGGGCTTCGACCGAGATGAGTCGGCGGCGAGGAGGCTGGCGACGATGGCGGCGTGACCGGCGGCAGCGGCGCGCCGGAGAGCGCTGGCAATGTCCAGCGGGGCGAGCGTCATGTTGTCAAGGAGCGAAGTGACAATGGCGTCGTGGCCACCGGAGGCTGCATCGCCAAGCGCAGCGCTCGCGGCGAGGAGACAGCCGTTGACGGCGAGATCGGAAGGCGTAGCGAGGAGGTAGTCGACAACTGCAAGACGATTCGCGGCGGCGGCGGCAACAAAAGCGGCAGCAAAGTCGTGGACATCGAGCTGTGCTGAGATAGGAGCGTCGACAACGAGTGCAAGCGCGTCAAGATTGCCTACGGCAGCAGCAATGGTGAGCGTGGCGGGGAGGTCGTCCATGACGTCGCATGCAGGGTGCGAGAGCATAACGCCCACGATGCCGTTGGCAAACTCGCGAGCAGCCTCGGCAAGGAACGACGTGTCGGCGTCGTCGACGTCAACCTTGTTCGAGTCGAGGAGTGAGGCCGCGGCGCGCGAGGCGTCGTGGAAGATGGCAAGATGAAAGGCGTCGAGGAGGTGGGAAGACGTGATGGCGGGGAAGGCAGCGAGGCGCGCGACAACCTTTGGGCTGTCGACCTTGACAGCATAGCGGAGCGCTCGAGCATCGCGCGCAGCAAGGTCGAGCTCCTCGCCGCGCTCTGTGGCGGCGGAGAGCACCATCTCGACAACGTCGTCATTGCCGACAAGGCAGGCATCGGCGAAAGCCGCAGTGAGATCGATGTGGTGGTTCGTACGGGCGTCGGCGGCGAGGAGTACAGCCAGCGTGGCAGGCGAACGGGCACCTATGGCAGCTCGAGCCGCCACATTCCAATCAGGTGACTCGAGGCGTGATGCAGCAACGGCTAATATACGCGCAACAAGCGTCGGGTGGCCGCGCTTGGCAGCCTTGAGGAGTGGGTCGGAGAGGTTGCTGTTGATAGCCAAGTGCGAAACGAGCGCCGCTGTGGCCGAGTGCCACGGCGAGTCGCGCGAGAGCGATGCAGCAGAAACGCTAGCAGCAATGTACAGGGCGCGAGCAAGCTTGGAACGGGATGAGGACGTTGTCTCGATGCTGGCCTCGAGGGCATGCCACTCGCTGGCGCGGGCGCACTTTGTCGGCCCTCGAAGCGAGCGGGCGAGGCGGCGGGAGTAGGGAGAGCCGAGGAGAGCAGCATGGAGCGCTCGAGCGGTGACAGCCAGTGCCAGGACATCAGGCGGGCGCAACAAGGCGGAGTAGTATGCAATGTGGTGTATTATCTCAGGTGGAAGTGTGTCAAGCGATAGGCCACTCATGAGCTGCGGGGAGCGGTGCAAGTGCGGAGAGAGTAGAGAGAACAACAGGCGGTGTGACAGTTTGACAGGCAGCCGAGCCGGATTGGTACCGGCGCTGGCAGCGCTGTCAACAGCCAAAGCGTACGTAGGTCGCGGGGGAGCGGAGGAAGTCGACACCCGACGTTATAGCAAAGAGCGGAAGGGAGCGTGTGCAATGGGCCATGGTGGCTTTGAATGCTTTGGTGGTGTTCGGGGGTTGGCGGTCGCTGCTGTGGCCGACCAGAGGCGGCGTGGGTTGGCCGGCGAAGGGGGGTTGGGTATGGAGATTGGGCATGATGATGGATGTGGTTGGGTAGAATGGCGACGATGGATGGATGTAGGGTTTGGAACATGAGGGAGGCGGGAACTTACGCGGCGCGGGAGAGGAGGACGGACGGATTGGATTGAGATGGACGTCGATCGAGACGAGGGCTTGAGATTAGAAGAGGAGGTAGACCACTGCACTCGAGCCCGTCACCGTATTGTATATTGTTTGCCCTTGCCCTCTCTTGTTCTTCCTCGCCATGGCCAGTCCACAGGCCTCGTCGTCTGGCTCGGTGATCGGCGGCAGCAGCGGCTGGCGATGAGCAGGCCGTCGGGGACTGTGATGGGCAAGGCCGGAGAAGGGAGGGGAGGGTTGGGTTGGAGGGCGCACTGGTAGGCATTGCCATTGATATAGCTATCCGTATGCATCGCCTCCAATGCTCCGTCGCTCGGTGGTGCCGGCGGTGGTCGGTCAGCGGCGGGCGGCGGTCGGCGGCGAGCAGCCGGCGGTCAGCAGCGATGCTGTTGACGGGATGGTGTCGGCTGATGTAGATATCGGGAAGCAGAGATTGGGTGGATACGTTTCAGGGGTGGTGAGTATGTGTGGTGTGGGTGTGGTGGTTGTGGGTGTGATGGTGGGGAGTGGGGGTCGGATATGGGCCCGGGGAGGGGGGTCAGCAGCATCGAAGGGACACAGGGCCAACAACTTGGGCCTGAGCCGGCGGAACTCGGATTCTGGAATACTGCAGCTGTGGATTGGAAACTGTGCAGGGGGATAGTGTGTGTATGTATTAGGGCAGTAGTGAAATCAGATTGGGCATATCTTGCAATGAGGTTGGTGGGGTTGTGTGCGGGGTCGGGCGGTCGAGGACGTGCTCAACCACCTAGGCAAAACAAGCCGACGCGGAAATGAGCCGAGGAAGATGGGTATCGATGACAGCGATATTTGTACTGGTGATAGTACGCGGTGAGTGATGACCTTGGGTGTGGTCGTGGGTTGTGTAGCTGGTGGTGGGTGGGAGCTAGGTGGTGATGAGGGTCGGCTGTTCGGGCGAGCGGGCGGCGGCTGGCGGCTGGTGGTCGGCGAGGCGGGGGCAGCTGAGGGAGCTGGGTCGGGGATGGTTGACTTGGGAATGCTGTTGGTTGGTGTATAGGCAGTATGGCATGTGATGGTTGAGAGGTGCCGGTGTCGGGGTCGGGGATGAGGATGAGGGTGAGCTGGAGTGAGGAGAGGAGGAGAAGGAGGAGGAAGAGGAAGCCGAGTGCGCGATGGGATGGTGGTGGGCTTGGCCATGGCATGGGGGTGGTGGTTGCAGCTAGGATGATAGTGATGGCGGTGGAGTAGGGGGTGGGGTGATGGTTGGTGGGTGATCGGGCGCAATGAGTATGGTAGGGGGATGAGGGGGGTCGTGACGAGGGTGGCGCGCCGGGCGGAGGGGTAGTGGGTATGGCGATTGGGCTTGCGGATGGATGTGGGCGAGTTGGATGAGGCTGATGGGTGTGTGTGAGGTGTGGTTGATGAGGGTGGAGGGGCTTGGGCGGCAAGTGTGAGGAGGGCGGACGGATTGGATTGAGATGGACGTCGATGGAGACGATGGCTTGAGATTGCGGGGAAAGCAGCCAACTGCACTTTAGCCGGCCACTGCATTACCTATCGATTGCACTGGCCCTCTCTTGTTATTATTTGTCTTGGCCAGCCCGGTGGTCTCGTCGTCTGGCTCGGTGATCGGCAGCAGGGGCGGCTGGCGATGAGCAGGCCGGCGGGGACTGTGATGGGATGTGGCTGTGTATGATGCGGCTGGTGGCTGTGTGAGGGGTGTGGGTGATGAGGGTGGGGCTTGGGCGGCATGGGCGAGGAGGGCCGACGGGATTTGATTGATGGACGTCGATGGAGACAATGGCTTGGGATTGGAGGAGGAGGCAGACCACTGCACTCTAGCCCACCACTGCATTGCCTATCGCTTGCACTGGCCCTCTCTTGTTATTCCTCGTCTTGGCAAGTCCGGAGGTCTCGTCGTCTGGCACGGTGATCGGCGGCAGCAGGGGCGGCTGGCGATGAGCAGGCCGGCGGGGACTGTGATGGGCAAGGCCGGAGGAGGGAGGGGGGAATTGAGTTGGAAAACAGACTGGTAGTCATTGCCATTGCTGTGGCTATCTCTATGCATTGTCTCCAAAGCCCTGTCGATGGCTAGCTTGCTCTTGGTGGTGCCGGCAGTGGTCGGTCGGCGGCGGGCGGCGGTCGGCGGCGAGCAGCCGGCGGTCGGCAGCGATGCTGTTGACGGGCTGGTGTCGGCTGATGTGAATATCGGCGGGCAGGAAGTGGGTGGCTATGTTTGCAGGGGTGGTGAGTATGTGTGGTGTGGGTGTGGTGGTTGTGGGTGGACAGGTTGGGGAGTGGGGGTCGGAGATGGGCCCGGGGAGGAGGGGTCAGCAGCATCGAAGGGACACAGGGCCAACAACTTGGGGCCGAGCCGGCGAAACTCGAATTTCGGAATACTGCAGCTATGGTATGGAGACTGTGCACGGGGGTAGTGTGGTCATGTAGTAGGGTAGTAGTGAAAACAGATTTGGCATATCTTGCAATGAGTGTGGTGGGGGGCGTGTGCGGGGTCGGGCGGTCGAGGACGTGCTCAACCACCTAGGGCAAACAAGTCGACGCGAAAGTGAGCCGAGGTCGATGGGAATCGATGACAGCGATATTGATACTGGAGATAGTGCACGGTAAGTGATGACCTTGGGTGTGGTCGCGGGTTGTGTAGCTGGTGGTGGGAAGGAGCTAGGTGGTAGTGAAGGTGGGCCGATCGGGCGAGCGGGCGGCGGCTGGCGGCTGGTGGTCGGCGAGGCAGGGGCAGCAGAGGGGCTGGTGGTC